GGCCGTCGAGCGCCTTGTGCGCGGCCTCGAGCGCGAAGCCCGCGGCGGCGAGCGCGGGCAGGTGGCGCGCCCAGGCGACGGCCTGGGCGTGGAGCGGGTGCGCGGCGACGAGCAGGCCGACGGCCGCGGCGGCCGCCGCGGCGTCGTCGCCGAGGCGGTAGCAGAGGCCGAGCGACGACACCGCGACCCACAGATGGCACGCGAGCGACGCGACGCGCGCGGCGGCGGCCGACGCGCCGACCCAGTTCACGGCGACCTGCAGGCAGGCGCCGAGCGGGCCCGCGGTGCCCAGTCGCGGCGCCTCGAAGGCGCACCACCGCAGCGCCGCGCCGAGCGTCGCCGGGCGGCCGCGCGGCAGGTGGACGTCGTCCTCGACGTTCAGGTGTTGCAGGTCGCCGAAGAGGATCGCCGGCGCGTAGGCCAGGAGCGCCAGCGCGACGATCAGCGCGCGCGCGACGTGCAAAGGCGACATCTTGACGCCCATACGCGATCGGCGAGTGCTCGTGCAAACCTCCACAAGAGCGCCGAGCATGGGCGCGTCCAAAGCGGCGGTTCGGGACTAGAACGCGACATTTAACACGCTCACACAGGGTGTCCGCTTTCGCATTGCCCGTACACAATCAAAAGATGGCGTCGCTGGACGACGCGCCGGAGCCGCTGGAGGCCGGCGTCCAGCGGAGCTCGTCGCTGGAGCTCGAGGAGGAGGACAAGGAGGAGCTGCTCGACGAGGAGCTCTGGCGGGCGCGCAAGGCGGAGTACGAGGCGCAGATCGTGGGCCTCGAGGAGGAGCAGGCGACGCTGCGCGACGCGTGGTCCGACATCGTCCGCGACAACCTGTCGACGGTCGACGACCTGAAGCGGACGCTCGCCGGCCGCGCGAAGCTCCGCGACGAGGCCCGGGCGACGCGCGACGCGCTCGTCGCCAAGCTCGAGACGCAGCAGAACCACCTCGTCGCGGAGCTGGCCGCCGCGAAGCTGCGCGTCGCGGAGCTGTCCGACGCGCGCGACCGCGCGCACCACGACCTCGGCGCCCTCGCCAAGTCGCCGACGAAGCGGTAACATCGCGCTGTGCTTTTCGTGCGCGAAGGTCCGCGTCGCGCGCGAAACCGCCTACGGCAACATCGCTTCAACGTAGAGCATCCGAGGAGGTGCCACGGGTAGGAGACGGCGATGGGCCTCTGAGTCGCCGCGCCACGGTGATGGCGGAGTGTCCGGCGTGCACCTTCGTCAATGCGCCCGGCGCGCCGGCATGCGAGATGTGCTCGACGAAGCTGGAGACGGGCCGAGACGAGCCGCGCGTCTGCGCCCACTGTACGCTCGAGAACGAGGCCTCCGCCGCGGCCTGCGTGGCGTGCGGAAGCTGGTGGTGCGACCGCTGCACGGCCTGCGTGCTCGCGTCGTCGGCGACCTGCGACGTCTGCGGCTACCCGGACGAGCCCGCGGGCGAGGACGCGGGAGACGCCGCCGCGGAGGGCGCCGCGGAGGACGGGGCGGCGCCAGGCCTGCCGAACCTGCCGCCGTTCTCCGCGGCGGCCGTCGCCGACGGCTACCGGCCGCGGCGCGTCGAGAAGGCGCTCGCCGCCGCGCCGCGGGCCGACGTCGCGGCCATCGTCGACGACCCGGCGCGGT